CCTTCATGTAATTGTAGATTAATGATACCAAAATAAAATAATAATAAAAAAAAGAAAGTAGAACAGCTAATTACTAAGCAAATGCAAAATTAAATTAACTGTCCCCAAAGTCAATCAAGGGATAGACAAAGAATACAGAATATGATACCTAATATATAAAGACTGGAGGAGGAGGAAGAAGGAGGAGAAAAAGAAAACCTTTAGATTGTGTTTGTAACAGCATATTAAGTGAGTTAAGTTAGACTCTTAGACAGTAAGGAAATTAACCTTGAACCTTTGGTAACCATGTGTCTAAAGCCTTCAATGGCAATAAGTACATACCTATCAATGATCACCCTAAATGTAAATGGACTCAATGCACCAATCAAAAGACATAGAGTCACTGAATGAATAAAAAGCAAGACCCACCTATATGCTGCCTGCAAGAGACTCACTTTAAACCCAAAGACATACACAGACTAAAAGTGAAGGGATGGAAAAAGATATTTCATGCAACTAACAGAGAAAAAAGCAGGAGTTGCAATACTTGTATCAGACAAAATAGACTTAAAAATACATAAAGTAACAAGAGACAAAGAAGGACATTACATAATGATAAAGGGGTCAATCCAACAAGAAGATATAACCATTATAAATATCTATGCACCCAACATAGGAGCACCCACATATGTGAAACTAACAGAATTAAAAGGGGAAATAGAATGCAGTGCATTCATTCTTGGAGACTTCAACACTCCACTCACTCTGAAGGACAGATCAACCAGACAGAAGATAAGTAAGGAGACAGAGGCACTGAACAACACAATAGAACAGCTGGACCTAACAGACATCTACAGAACTCTACACCCAAAAGAAACAGAATACACATTTTTCTCAAGTACATGAAAAGATGCTCCACATCACTAATCATCAGAGAAATGCAAATCAAAACCACAATGAGATATCACCTCACACCAGTAAGGATGGCCAGCATTGAAAAGACTAAGAACAACAAATGTTGGTGAGGATGTGGAGAAAGGGGAACCCTCCTACACTGCTGGTGGGAATGTAAGCTAGTTCAACCATTGTGGCAAGCAATATGAAGGTTCCTCAAAAAACTGAAAATAGAAATATCATTTGACCCAGGAATCCCACTTCTTGGAAAATACCCAAAGAATACAACTTCTCAGATTCAAAAAGGCATATGCACCCCTATGTTCATCATAGCACTTTTTATAATAACCAAGGTATGGAAGCAACCTAAGTGTCCATCTTTAGATGAATGGATAAAGAAGATGTGGTATGTATATACAATGGAATACTATTCAGCCATAAGAAACAAATCCTACCATTTGCAACAACATGGATGGAGCTGGAGGACATTATGCTCAGTGAAATAAGCCAGGTGGAGAAAGACAAATGCCAAATGATTCCCCTCATTTGTGGAGTATAACAATGAAGTAAAACTGAAGGAACAAAATGGCAGCAGACTCAGACTCCAAGAATAAACTAGTGGTTACCAAAGGGGAAGGGTGTGGGAGGGTGGGTGGGGAGGGAGGGGTATTATGTTTAGTACACGTGGTGTGGGGGATTATGGGGGGAACAGTGTATCACAGAGAAGGGACATAGTGGATCTCTGGCAACTTGCACTAATGGACAGTGACTGCATTGGGGTATGGATGGGGACTTGATAATATGGGTAAATGTAGTAACCACATTGTTTTTTCATGTAAAACCTTCATTAAAGTGTATATCAATCATACCTTAAAGAAAATTTTTTAAAAAATAAAATAAAATAAAATAAAATTGCTAACATTTGCTGAATGAGAAGTTAAATAATTTGCCCAAGATTCCACAAGGGCAGGATGATCTCATGTCAAGATCCTTAATTACAATTGCAACAACAATTTATCTAAGAAAGGTAGGGCCTTAGTCAACTCCAAGTGTTCCTGGCTCCAGAATCTCTGCTGGTTAGCACTAAGTTTCACTGCTTCAAATCTCCACATCGGATATGTGTTCCCTTTATTTTTTTGCTCATCCACAGTGTATGATTGTGTACTCAAGAAAGGAGAATAACACCGCATACCTAGTAATAGGCAAACACCTTTTTTTAAGCAATGAAAACCTGTCTTTTAAAAAATGAACAAATAATATCATGTAACCTAATTATAAGCATAACACTTCTAAAGGTGCTACCACTATTTTTCCCCCAGAAAGGGGATACTGGTTGATTGATTAAGTTAGGCAAAATATTAAACATATTTTGAGCACTAAGTTTTTCCTTTCAAGTCAGTGCACATAAGAAGAGAACCCTTAAAGGACTAGTGCTTCAGGGGCTGAATTTAACACTATTTAAGGAAAGAAAACCTTAGCTAGGGGACATAACTGTTAACATGGTGATTTCTAAAGCCTGAGATTTCTAATAGGGTCTGACTGCTTCAAGGAAAACATATTTTGTTTCTAGGTAACATTTCAAGTCTGATTATGAACAAATGTTACAAAATTGATCTGTAATGGGAAATACTGTAATGTCACAAAACATTATTTATATGCTTAATGTGACTGAAAACATTAATTGCTAGGAGCCAAAATCTGTCCAAACAAAACATGAACACACATTTTGTACCTCTTGTCTCTTGCTGTAGGTTTTCAAAAGAATCTGAGTGTTATAAAAAAATATAGTTAGAAAATCAGCAACACCTGAAGGTTTTCTTCACCTGTTTGGATTATTGTAGATGTTTCTTGTTAGCAAAAGCATGAATCATATCTGTTCAGAAGTGCCCAGCAAACAATGCTACATGGCTACTTGTTAGCAGCTCAAACATCTTGTGGAATGAAGTGGTGAAGGGCCAACTGGGTTTGGGGTCTTTTTTTTTTTTAGTCTTTCTAGGTTATTTTGCCACCTTTCTAATAAAATCTGTCTTCCTCCTAGTACATGCAACTAAGATTTGGCTCTCTGTAGTCTTAAAATGAGTGCTAGAATTTTCTGCTAAAAATGAAGGTAATATTTGCTGCTTTGGCTCAAATGCAAGTATTAAAAATTTTAACAGTGGAAAGATTGTCATTAGTACTTAAATTTATGAGATCAACATGAACTTGGAGCTATTTCCAAAGAAACCATTTGCACTCTCAGTTCTGGTCAGTTCCAGGGTCTGAGACTGGGGAAACATCCCCTAGATGTGATGCACCTGACCATCCATGTGTTCTACATATATCTGTAATTGTCCTCATATGAAATAGAAAACAGTATGCAATTCTCCACTGAGTCACGTGAAAGAAAATGAATGTAAGGATTGGTTACTTTCCTACCTTGGAGGTGTTTGTGTCCTAGGAGCACCTAAGCATTTCTTTTCTCCCACATGAATACCAGTACTACACGAATATGAGCTGTGTACCAAGCACTATGTGTCACACACTCACATTTCTCATACAACCCACAACAACCGTTGGAGGTTGGTACTTGGAAGAAAGAGGATGAACTGGTCTGTCCTGTGGTAACTACCCTACCATCTCAGTGGTCTAAAGCAACAGAGGTTTAATTTTTGCTTTTGCAAAGTCTGGTGTGGTTCTGGGCAACTGTCCATGGCAGCTGCGGTATGGGGACTCGGCAGTGTGTCTCTACATCCCCGTGTCCACTGCAGAATTAAGCACAGGCACGCAACCGGGGTCACTCCTGAAAGTGACCCATGTCACCCACACTCACTTTCAGTGGTCAAAGCAAATCATGTGCCCACATTTAACTTCAAGGGAGCAGGCTGTTCAATACTACTATTGCTCAGTGGGTGTGAAGAAAACCTTGGTAACCTGTGGAAACAGTATTATTTTTCTCATTTTACAGATGAGGTAACTATAAGGGAAATAGTGCCCAAAGTTATACAATTTATATGTTTGGTGACAATGTGATTCATTGTCCAGACCAGGATACCTCTGCCAATGAAAGAGGGTAGTTTTGATCAGTGCCTCCCTAAATCCTGGGCATTCAGTCCTGCCTACTTTGGGATTTAGAGCCCCACTCTGTACCTCCTCTGCTGGGATCTTCCTTCTCCTCCTGGGTTGAAGAGTCCATGGCCCAAAGGGTTTTGCCCAGCAGGTGCATGGTCAGAGCACCACTTCTAGACCAGGCCCCAAGTCCCTGCAGCAGCTCGGAACTCCCTGCCCACATAACTCCAGGCCTCTTCTGGAGCTTGTGTACTCCTGGGAGCATCTTCCAAAGGGCAGAAAAAGCCACAGGTGTGCACACACCTAGGCCCAAAGAACCTAAGGGCCGGCTGGTAGCCTGTTTGAATATGCAGGCGGGGGTGTCCACACACACATACATGGAGCCCCTTAGAAGGAAAAAAAATAGTCGAGTGACCCACTACCATTTTCTACTCTTATTCCCACCCTGGGGCCCACAGGAATTAGGGGTGAGCCTGCCATGCCGTTCCTTCATTTAGAAGCAGCAGATCCAGGCCACAAATCTAGGTTTTTCTAATGCAGGACCCCACTCTTGGTGAAAGTTTAATGAAGTTTTAAAAATCAGTGGCAATGCATGGTGTGATTTGAAAATTCAGGACCACTGGGATGAGACGCAGAGTTAGTGGCATGCAAAGACAGAGCCCAAGGCCTGTCTGGACTGAAGCTGTAGCTCTGCCACATGGAAGTTCGGTGATCTTGGCAGGTCACCTGCCTCCTAAAGAGCCTGTTCTGCCTGTAATCATAATACTAATAGCCAAGTTTCCCAGTAGTTACAAAGCTGAGGTGAGATAATACACATGCAGAACTGAGACTGTGAAGGGAGAACCACAAAGGAGGAGTTTTCCCTGATGACCTTCCTCAGCAGGTCAAATGCCAGAGGTCAGATGATCCGTGCTGACAAACACCAGGCTGCTAGTCAATAGGCTTTCCAGAGTTTTAGGATTCTTGTGTGAAGTGTTTTTAAAACCTCAAAATTGATCTATTAGTAGGTGAAATTGAATGGATTCAATGACAAAGGACTAGCATTTAGCATTGTTCTTATCATGGGGAGAGTATCCCAAAGCTATTTATGTGTGGCAGCGATTTGGAACTCAATTCAAAAGCAGATCAAAGAGTATCCTCACATTCAAAGAACATTCAGGGACCCCACTGAAAAAGGTCACTTGGGGTTATGTTTTCAGAGGAAACTGAGGCCCAGAGAGACTAAGCCTGCGGTTTTCCCTTTCTCAGGGCTGATGCAGAGGCTAGACCGAACTCCTTCGCCTGCTCCAGTTGTTCTCTTTAGAGACTCAACATTTTCATCTGAAAAATGGCAACAAGAACCCCTACTTTCAGAAGAGTGAGGATTAATTAAGATAACGACCACAGAGCACTTGGTGCAGGCAGCCCTCAGTAATTAACCATTTTTATTATTACACCAATGTAGGGTCCTTACATGCTTCAGCATTAAAGATTTTTTTTACCTCATGGTTGCTTTTAGATTTCATCCCATGGCATGTGTGACTGATGGAGGCTGTGGATTTATCAGAAAATTATCAAAGGTTTGTTGTTTTAAATACATGATAGAAAGATGTTTTCTTTTTACATTCACATCGTTTTTTTTTTTAAAGGAGGTCATACAGTTATTAACTATAAGAAGCTGAGGAAGGAGTCATACCAGATTAGTGATCCCAAGCCACAGGAAGAGGTGGCCATGCTGCTAAAATATTGGAGATAGAGATGCGTGAAGAGAACACTCCCAGGAGACTTCAGAGTCAGATCAATTCACTAGCTGAACGACTTTAGGCCAATTACTTCCACTCTGCAAACCTTTTTCTCTTCTGTAAAGGGAGATAAGAGCAGTACCTTCCGCACTGGGTGGTTGGCACGGCTCTATTGTAAAGCATTTTGCCCCAGGCCCAATGCAAGGAGATGGCTGACCAGTGGAGCCAGAACACTCTGTTTGAACAACTTTAGAGGAACTGACACTTATTATAAGGGTAAAAATATATGCTAAGAAATCAAAAGAAATTCTTGAGAGAATAATCTAAACTTTATTTTCTGACAGGCACAGTTCCATCTACAGACGATTCACGCAGAAGCCGGGTGCATCAGCCTGAGGAGCCCGTTCCTGAAGTCGTTGGGAAGGCCTGTAGGCTTGCTGGTGGCTGGATTTACAAAAACATGGACTGAAGACCCGGTGGTGCAGGCCAAGGCAGCAAAATGCACCAGCTTGGGGTGGCCAAGAAAAAAGCCATCACTGAGGTCCTGGTGATCTACTGAAGGCGGCTCCTCGGTGGGCTCCGGGGGAAACAGAGCAAGGCGGTAATGCACGCTGGAGTGACCCACCTTCTCCACGGCCAGCGCAGCCACTGGGACCTGAGGAAAGCTGACGGGTCTGTGGAAGGTGCACTGATTGGTCACCATGAACCCCACCATGGGGGACGTCAGCAAGCCGGTTTTTAGGCCACAGTACCTAGAAGTTGAATTACAATGCTTATAGTCCTGGTCACCATGACACTCTCTCCCAGCCCCATAACTTCCCCCAGAAGTAGGCTCTAGCTTCAAAGGGCCTCAAATCAAATCCCAGCTCTGCCACTCTGAAGCTGAGTTACCTTGGGCAAGTTACTTAACTTCCCTGTACCTCAATTCACACAACAACGTAATGTTCATAACCATGGAACCTGCTTCACAGGCTGACTCTGAGGATACCATTTAATACCTGAACAGTTCCTGGACAGAGTAAGTTCTCATTAAACACTGGCTATTATTAATATCATTATGTCCATCTTATGGTTGCTTCTGACCATGAAAAGCCTGGTACTTTTGTGTCAAATTGAGAGGGAAAACTTAGTTATTAGAGATGGCTATTGTGTCTTTTACCTCTGTCATTAGATTGTAATCTCTTTGAGAACAAGAAATGAGGTTGTACTTGCAATAATTTTGGAGGTTGAACAGAATCAGAAATAAAAAGCATGATGTTGAGTTTCAGCCTCCCCCCACCTCCTCACCTGATAGACCCATGTATCACTTAAAACATTTTAGTTGAACTGTCTTACTTTATTCTTAAGAAAGTTAAGACTGAATGTGAGAATTCATTTTAAGGAACCAACTGGGGTCTGACTACAAACCTGACTGAATCATTGTCACAGAAAGATGCTACAGGTCTCTGCCCAGGGAGTGCACGTGAGAGCCTGTGGCCAGCCACCCTGGGCATTAGCAGATGTCATCCACCGTGACATCAGATACAGTCATTTATTGACATAGAAAGCCGCTCAGTGAAAAAGGTCAGGTTACAGAACAGTACATAACATTTGATCTCATTTGTTTTACAAGACATATTGGTTTTGCACTTAATTGCCCAAACAAACTTTTAAAGGATAGGTTGCAAAATGTTTTCAGTAGCTATTTAGTAAGTGGAATTTGGGGATAATTATTTTTCTTCTTTTTGCTTTTTTACTTTTTTCCAGAGTATCTCCCCTGGCTTGAGTGCATTTGCATATCCTCAGGGGTGGAGAGAAGCTCATCTTCATGTCAATGGGTAATTACCTGGGCAACTGAGGGCATGTCTGAACCTGAGAGTTTAAGGGGAGGGGCTGGCTTGCTTGCTGGCTTGCTTCCTTCCGGAGCAGGAGAGAGAGAGAAGGCGCTGGACTGCAGTTTGTAAGCAATAAACGGGTTTTAAACTTTATTTCTCCCTTTGACTAATTTCTGTTTTTAGAGGTATTTTTGCCCTGGGATTTCCTTTCCTCGGACTTACAGCTTATATGAATTTTCCAGAACAAATATGATTTGCCTTTGCAATAAGAAAATGTTATTTTTTAAAAATGTATCTGAGTCTCATTTTTTAAGAAAGCACTGGAGAGATGAGCAGGCTGGATAAGCAAGGCTCCTTTCCTTCTGCCCATGAGGGTCCTCCTGCCTCTCGTTGCCCTCCCTGAGGAGCCTTCCTCACACATACCATGCGGCAGGACAGAAAAGGGAAACGGGAGAAAGGCCTTGTTCATCAGCATGACTCCAAGATCCAATGGGAACCAGTCTCCTATTTTCATTTTCCATGTTTCTTGGCTGCTCTTGCTTTCCCGTTTCTCCGCCGCTGTTTTCCTTATTCTTTATGGCCCTGACAGTAAAGAAAGAGTGCCTCTTCCCATCAGGAGAGCAGTATTTCATTAGCTCCCTGGATCTCTGAGCCCAGCCATGACAACTCTAAATAACTGGAACACAGAGGCACCTTGAACCAGTGCCAGCTGTGAGCGCCTGGGAGCCAGGGTTGTGCTGAGGAGCTTTAGATCTTATATTCAGTATTCAAAATAACCCTGCATGGCAGGCCTCATTTCCCCACTTTACAGGAAAGTAGGGAGGCTGAATACATTTCCCAGAGGCACCTGTGCAGGTAAGTGGTGGCTCTGGCCCAAACGTCAGGCCCTCTACGGCCAAGCTCACATTTCCTTCCCCCCATTCTGACTTACTAGATGGTAAAGCCAAAACCTATATTTTAATCCAGTGGATGAACTGCATCTTCTTTACGTGTTCCTGTGACTTTAAGAATTACATTTTCTTTAAGGGTTGGGTGACAGCTTTATCATGTTTGGATAATAGACCTCTTGCTTGCAAGCTTGTAACCAACCCAATCTGATTTTGTTGGTGGTAACAATAGGAAACTCAGAATATTTCCATTGTTCCAGGTTTTTGAGGCTTAATTTTTATCAGATTTTATGGATGTGTACATGTTCTAAAAAGTCAAGTCATTTACTACAAAAACAGTAGTTCTCCAGCTGGTTATGCCACTGGTTATTACTCTAGGCCAAGAAGGTCTTAGAGTGGATTCACTCATTCATTAGTCTAGACCAAGAAGGTCTTAGAGTGGATTCATTCGTCCAGTGGGTTCCTCCTTTTTGTTAGCATCTCAAGTACAACATGGAGTAAGAGAACCTTTGGCCTTTGGGAGTGGTCAGTGTCAGGGGCCGGGGACGCAGGGGGTGCGGGAGAGCCGGGCACAGTGTGCCTGCTCTTGGCCTCCCTTGGGCATGTGGAAGGTGCTAGCTGTACTCCTTTCTGGTTCCCCTTCCACTCTTTCCTCCTCCTCCCCCTTACTGCTTTTCCTCAGCAAACACTTATTGGGCACTACTCTGTAGCCAGCATGTGCTAGGCACAGAGAGAGAGCAGTGAACAAGTGGGACCGTGATGATCCCGCCCATGCACAGTCCTGGTCTAAAGCGGATGCAGTCATGATGCACTGTGCCAAATGCTATGCCACAGATGCCGAGAGGCTCTGCAAGCTCGGGAGAGGAAGCCTGACTTGGTCTTTGGTATCAGGAAGAACTTTTGAGCAAGTGACAGCCATGCTGAGACATGAAGAAAATGTAGCAACTATTGAAGGGAATAGTATGGGGAAGAGTCTTCCAGGAGGAGGATTGGCCCACCTGAGGGCCCAGAGGCCATAGTTAACACATGGGGCACATCCCAATGGTAACACAAGTCCCACAGAGTTGGAACACAGGGTGCCAGAGGCTGGGGAGGAGGCAGAAGCCAGACTGGGGAGAGGCTTCCTAAGAAACCTGGATTTTATTCTGGGGCAGTGGGAAGCCAACACATGGATTATTGTATGCAGAGGAGAGTAAGGTCAAGTTAGTTTAGTAAAATGAAAACACAATGCCTGGGAGAATAATTAGGCAACTACCATCATCCTGGTAAAGATGGTAACAGCACAGATGGAAAAAACTGAATGGAATCAAAAGAGATTTTGCATAACATTTGATGATAAATCAGGTTGAAGGAGATGAAAGAGCTCTGGATAACTTCCAGTCCTAGGCAACTTTCTGACGATTTCATCTTTGGAAAGAGGGGATGTGGAGGTTTGGAGCAAAGGTAAGGCAAATGCCTGAGCTCTGTTTTGAATACTATAGCCTGGGTTGAGGTCCCTGTGAGACTTTAAGAGGAAGTGCACAGTAGGATTACAGTATTACTAACTAACATTTCTGGAGTCCTATACTAAATGCCATGCCTTCCATTAAGTACACAACTGGATTATCTCAACAAGAGGCATTTGGATATATGGAGCTGATGGTCAGAAAGATGTTTGGGCTGGAGACAGGTGGTGAGAGACTGTATTTCCTCTAAAATCAGGGTCTAGGCAAGTAATGTAAAGGGTTGAAGCTGGCTGGGTGTAATGCCCTCAATGTGCTGGGCCCATGGCAAGCTGGAAAGCAAATGCCCAGACTGACCTGGCACAAATTCAGACTTTTAAAAGATACTAAATAAAACTCATGTGTGGCCTGCCCAGATTTGTCTTTCTGGCTCTCCACTTTGTGACCTCTGGGAGAGATGGTAAATAAACTGGGGTAGAGGGAGGGATGGCCTAGGGGAGAACAAAGAAGGGGGTGAACTCAGCCTTAAGGAGGAAAACCTGGCTTTGAATCAGCTCCCAGTTCTGATGATTTCTTAGGATGCAACTACTGAGTGATGAAGCATCTGATTCTAATGCAACCTAATCACCAGGTGAGGTGAATGCCTATCTTCTATGCTTTCTTACCCCAGATTCAGTAAACTTCAGAATACAGGGGTGTGAGAGCTGGAAGACCCCTGAGGGTCTCACCCAGGGCAGGAGCTCTTCAGAATCTGGTGTGGGTCAGAATCTCCTGGGGATCCTGTGAAATGTCCAGATCCCCAGATGCCTCCCAGGTCTCCTGAATCCATGTGCAAGAAGGGACCCAGGTGTCCTAATTCTGACAAGCTCCCTGGTGATTCTGATGCACACACCTAGTCTAGGAGATGCTCCTCTCAACCTACTGCCTGAGAAGCAAGCAGCCCAGAGAGAGGATATAAGTTGCTCACCTGCACACAGCTAGAAAGGGGCAGGGTTTCCTATACTGTGCCAGTCACTCCAGCCCTTTCAGCTTGGTCCATTAACCTCCCACCCCCAGACCCAATCCCAGCACAGGCCAGGGGGTCTCCAGGGCATTCGCAGCTCAGAACCAGGCCTGCCATGCTCCTGCACTTGCCCTAACTTTGCATGTGACCCTAACAGTTGGGTTCAGTCTTGCCTTGTTCCCCTGCCCCTGGCTCCCACCTCCTTCCTTGGGTCTTTAACTAGGTTTAACTAGGTTCTGCCTTGACCCCTGTGCTGAAGCCCTGTCTTGGTGCCTCCCTGGGCCTTGGGTGCTGCTGGAGCAGGAAAGACATGCACCTGAAGGTCACAGGCCTCCAGGTCTGTGTCAGGACACAGCCCTGCTGCCTCCTGAGATCTGGAGAGAAGTGCCTGTCAGATGGTAGGAGGCCAGTGGGCATATGGCACAGACATACTTTTCAGAGGGGTAAGGCTATGTTTGTCATTTGCTATAAATAGCATAGCATGGGTAATAGCCTGTGGTCAGTTACCTGGAATGCCAGGGCAGAATTCTGGCAGGAAGTCCATCCCACACTCTCAAAAAGTAAGCACAAGCTTGGCAGCATGGCCCCATGACTATCCAGAGTCCT